AGATATTTTAAGAAACAGTAGACCTCTCTAACAGCTTTTAGTTCTCTAGCCATGGAGTCCACACCTCCCTCAACCATGGCCGAAACTGGTAAACTACACATAGTTATGTTCCCATGGTTAGCTTTCGGTCACATGCTCCCCTTCCTCGAGGTCTCAAGGCTCATCGCCCAAAAGGGTCACAAAATCTCCTTCGTATCCACTCCTCGAAACATCGATCGCCTCCCAAAACTTCCTCCCAGCGTAGCTCATCTCATCAACTTTGTAAAACTTCCTCTACCCCATGTTCAAAACCTCCCGGAAAATGCCGAGTCCACCTCCGACCTACCTTACCACATGGTCAAGTACCTCAAGAGAGCCTATGATCTCCTCCAACAGCCATTGACAAGCTTTCTAGAAGCTTCTTCTCCTGATTGGGTAATCTATGACATGATACCTTATTGGGTAGGTGTAATTGCAGCTAAGCTACACATTTCAAGTGCTTTATTCTTTATCTTCATTGCCTCTTCTATGACTTATGCTGGACCAGCTTCACTCTTGCTGGAACCTCAAAACAATTATCGGAAGAAGCCGGAGGACTTCACAGTTCCGCCCAACTGGATTCCATTCAAATCAACGGTTGCTTTTCGACTCTTTGAGATTATGCGAGTTTTCGACGAAGTGGAAGGAGACGGCGAAGGCGGCGTTCCAGGTTTTTATCGGGTAGGAAAGGGCATTGAAGACTGTGATGTGATGATTGTCAGAAGTTCTTATGAGTTTGAACCAGAGTGGTTGAGAGTTCTTGGAGATATTCACCGGCCAAAGCCGGTTATACCGGTGGGTCAGTTACCGGCAATATCTTATCATGACGACGACGAGGACCCTGCATGGAGGGAAATGAAAAAGTGGCTTGATGAACAGAGTAAAGGGTCAGTGGTTTATGTTGCATTTGGGAGCGAGGCGAAACCGACTCAAGATGAACTCACTGAGATAGCGCTAGGGTTGGAGCTATCCGAGTTACCGTTCTTTTGGGTTCTAAGGAAGCGGCGAGGGATGGCCGATACGGAGGTGATTGAGTTGCCCGAAGGGTTCGAGGAGAGAACCAGAGGACGTGGATGGGTGTGCACAGGTTGGGCTCCTCAATTTAGCATACTGAGTCATGACTCAGTGGGTGGGTTCTTAACTCACTCGGGTTGGAGTTCGGTGGTGGAGGGAATACAGTTTGGGAGAGCTCTTATATTATTGACTTTTTTGGCGGAGCAAGGGTTGAATGCTAGGGTTTTGGAAGAGAAGAGGATGGGTTACTCGATACCGAGAGACGAGCTAGACGGGTCATTTACGAGTGACTCAGTGGCTGAGTCACTGAGGTTGGTGATGGTAGAGGAAGGAGGGAAGTTATTCAGGGACAAGGCCGAGGAGATGAGAGCGCTGTTTGGTGACAGGAATACACAAGACAAGTATGTGGATAATTTGTTAGCTCATTTTCAAAGTCACAAAAAAGGGGGGACTCAAGAAGTAAATTTAAGTGAGCCAATGTGGGTGTGAATAAGTTGTTTAATTTCTAGCTATAAATGCATGTAAGAGGAGTCTTTTACTAATTAATTAATGAATAAATGAGAATCAATTTTCTTTTTTCTTTCTTTTTTTTTTTTTTTTTTTTTTTTTTCTCGAAATTTGGTCTGTGCCCTTATTTGCTATACAATATAAGGTAAAGTGCAAAAAAAATCTCCCTAAACTATTTTCAAATTTGCAAATAACCTCCTTAAACTATATTTTGTGTATGAAACCCACCTAAACTATCATATTTAGTTACAAAATGCCCCCAATGCCTTAACTATTTTTTATTAAATGGCCGTAATGCACTTTCTTATTGAATTACACTTCATCTTTTTTTTTTTTCTTTTTTTTTTTATTGAAATAAATTATGAAAAAAAAAATCATATTAATTTGATGATATTCTCCATTAAATTTACATAAATTTACCTTTAATTTTTTAAATCAAATGTTTAAATAAAAATCTTAAGTAGAAAATTTTAAAACAAATCACATATTCATGGAATTGGTATCTTCCACACTTCGGGTCTCACTTTTTTATTAGCTTTATATATTCCTCAATTTTCATTCAATTTATTGTCAGTTCGCAAAATCATATCAAATTTAAATTGCTCAGTTACTTTTTCCCCTTCCCGTTGTGTTTTTCAGGATCTTAAGACGAAGAAGTGGTAGGGGGTTTGAGATGGATGGTCTTTACTATTTCCAGACTACTGCTCCGACAACTCTACATTCCACCTCCTCTTCCGCTTACTAGTGGCATTGCCGCCTTGGACATCCATCTTCAAATAGTCTTCAAGCCTTGGTCCCTTCTTTTGTTGATTTTGCTAAGTTTAATTGTTCTACTTGCAAACTTAGTAAACATCGTTGGGCTACTTTTAAGTCTCGTTTTGATAATAAAAGTTTAAAACCTTTTGAGTTAGTACATTCGGATGTTTGGGGACAAGCTCGTACTACTGGTTTATTTGGTGCTCGTTATTTTGTGTCTTTTAGTAATGATTATTAACGTTCAACTTGGATTTATATTCTGAAAGATAGATCTAAAGTATTCTCTGTTTTTCAATACTTTTACGCTGAAATTCAAAATCAATTTGATGCAAAATTACTTGTTCTTAGAATTGACAATGCCCTTGAATATAAACTTAAAGTTTTTCAAAAGTTTCTTGAGTCGAGGGGCATTATCCGTCAAACATCTTGTGTTGATACCCCTCAACAAAATAGAATTGTTGAACGGAAGAATGGCCCACTCCTAGCTATCGCTCATGCATTAATAATTCAAATGCATGTTCCAAAACATTTTTGGATAGATGTAGTTCTGGTTGCTACTTATCTTTTAAACTGCATGCCTTCTAGGGTCCTTCAAGGAAAATCACCTTTCCAAATGATGTTTCCTAACAAAAATCCTTTTTCCATTCCTCCAAAGGTGTTTAGGTGTGTCTGTTTTGTTCATAATCTAAACCTAGGACGAGACAAACTTGATCCTCGTGCTCACAAATGTATTTTCTTAGGTTATTCTCGCACTCTAAAGGGATATAAATGTTACAATCCAACTCTTCGTAAACAATTTGTGTGTGCAGATGTAACTTTTTTTGAGGATGTTCCTTATTATTCCCAGGAAGGCATTCATTTGGAGGACTCTATTCTTCAAGATATATTCTGTTCTTCCAACTCCAGTTTTTGATTCTGACATCCCACCAGCTCTTCGTGTCTTTGCCCGTCGCCGAAAAAGAGTAATTAATGATGTTCCAACGATAAAAAAGTATAAAACCCAGCCTTTCCACTTCCATTAGTCGCTTCAACGCCTAGAGACTCTTCCATCTATCAAGACTCTGATCATGATCAATCTATTGCAATTCGGAAAAGTAAACGGTCTTGCACCAATCACCTTATCTCCAATTTTATATCGTATAATAAATTATCCTCCTCCTTTCACATTTTTTTCTTTGTCATTATCCTCTATTGCTCTTCCTACGTTCTACAGGGAGGCACTTTCTAATCCAGGGTGGAGGAAAGCTATGGAAGAAAAAATAAATGCTTTAAAATTGAATCATACTTAAGACCTTGTATGTTCTTAAGCCTGCTGATACTTAAGTTATTGCTTGTCGTTGGGGTTTTAATTGATTATACTGAGACGTTCTCTCATGTGGCCAAACTGAATTCAGTTCGTGTGATTATCTCTCTTGCAGCTAATCTAGATTGGCCACTTTATCAACTTGATGTTAAAAATGCCTTTCTACACAGTGACCTTACTGAGACAGTCTATATGACTCAACCACCTGGGTTTAAGTATAAGGGGGACTGTGTGTGTCATCTCAAAAAGTCTATCTGTGGCCTCAAACAGTCTCTTCGTGCATGCACTACAAGAAAAACAGTTTTTTAGAACGTCCTTTTTATCACGGTTTTAAAATAACAGTGGTAAAAGACATTTTCTACCACGGTTTTAAAATAACCGTGGTAGAAAATTTATATTTTACCATGGTTATTTTAAAACTATGGTAGAAGATGTTTTTATCACTATTAAGAAAAAACTGTGGTAGTAATTATATTTTTTACCACGATTATATTTATAATCGTGGTAGAAAATGAATTATTTTACCACGATTATTCTTATAACCGTTATAAAAAGTGAATTTTGTGATATTCTGAATGCGGGTCTTATTCCCGCTACTTTCTTAAAATTTTAAGCTGGATTATTTCAGACCGCACAAGTACAGACCACACACGCAAATCATTTCAGCCTCCCAAATCGCCTCCATCTCTACCACACGCAAATCCTTTGAGCCTCCCAAATTGCGTCCATCTCTATTTCGTTCTCAACTCTGAACTTGCCCTCTCTCTGCGACTGCAAACTACAAGAATCAAATCAACCTCCCAAATCGCCTCCATCTCTATTCTCGTTCTTGACTCTGAACTTGCCCTCTCTCTGTCTTTGCAACTGCAAACTACAAAATCTACAAGAATCAGATCAGCCTCTGAAATCGCCTCTATCTCTATTCTCGTTCTCAACTCTGAACTTGCCCTCTCTCTGTCTCTGCAACTGCAAACTACAAAATCTACAAGAATCAGAACCCTCTCTATTTCCTCTTTCTCCCTCTATCTTTCTCTGTCTATCTTTCTCCGTTTCTCTCTTGACATAGATACATACATACTCAGGAAGAGAAAACCTAGAATCTGACATTACCCGCTTTTAGGCCCCATTAATGGACACCGATATCGCGAGGTGCCCGCTGACGATGGATCTACGGTCGCCGAACCTCCCTCTGATCCCTTTGCTGCCAAGAAATCCAAGCGATTCGAGATGAAAAAATGGAGTGCCGTCACTCTCTGGTCTTAGGGTCCGTATATATATATATATATATATATATATATATAATATTGTGATTGTAGGAATATGTGACCATGCATTCGTTTTTGTGTGTGAATAGTTTGAAATTTATAGTGTATTTTGTGATACATTGTGAATTTGAGTTGATTTGTGTATCGGTTGCTGCAGATATTGCTGTGGATAACTGTGCAATTTGTAGGAACCATATCATGGATCTCTGTAAGAGCTTTTGGTTGTGTTATTTTGTGTAGGTTTTTCTTCATTGTTATTGCGTATGCTGTGTGATTTAGATGTGTGTTGATTTTGATTAGGCATTGAGTGCCAAGCTAATCAAGCAAGTGCGAGTAGCGAGGAGTGCACTGTTGCTTGGGGTACGTGCTCTCTTAAACCACAACCCCTAATTAATCCAATTGAAACTTAGGATTATGAATTTATATAATATATTCAATAGATTTGTTTGATTTGTGAAACCTTTCAGTCTCTTTCCAAATATTGCAATGATCATGGTAAAGCTTGTTTCTAGCTGATCTTGTTACATTTGATTAAGGGGTCTTTTTGTGTTACCATAATTCCTTTTGTTATAAAATCAGAATAGTAACTGTTTTCTTTTCCTTTTTGTTTATTTATTATTTCCTTCCCCAATTGAGGTTCCTTTTATGTTTTAACTAATGATTTTTTTGTATATATATATATATATATATATATAGTTTTTAGAAAACATACATAATTCATTGGTTTAACTAGTTGGTCCAAATAATATGTAATAATGCAGAATAATTTTTGAGCCTTTTTAATGTATGGAATTTTATTTGTTGCCAAGGTGGTAAGATGGAAATGATGGTCCATTGTATTGTTGGGAAACATGCTAGTTTTAAAAACTTTTCGAGGGATTTTAATTCATAGATCTTGATTCATCACATACAGACAAGTTTTATGCAAAAATAAAAATATAATGTATCATTCAATTAAAAGATTGAATACTTACATCAAGGTTTTAGTAAACCTTAAATCTCTCCTCTAAAGTGAATGTTCTCACTTATTGTAGATCCCTTTTGTTAGACATCTTTTTCTATGGATCTCCATCTTCTTGGTAATGGTCTTGCCTTTAGGAATCACTCATAAGCCTCCATGACTGACCTTGGAAAACTAGGCTTGTGGGAGCCTCCATTAGATGAGAACATAAACCCTAATTTTTCTAGAGAGAGAAAATAGCTTCCTTTTTTTCTTCTTTCAAAAATCACCCCCAAAATATACATAGACCATGTATATTTATAGGCAACATAAAAATAAAGAAAAGGAAACAACAAATCCTTCTCAATCTCTAATTCATATGTCTCAAATCTAATATGATTCCAATATCAAGTTGGGCTATGAGTGAGAATCTATTAGGCTTATTATTTTATTGGTTACAATGAATTAATAATTGGCCCGGTCCATGAACCCAATTCAATTAATTCATAAATTAATTTCTACTCCACTAAAAGAAATTAATTGAACTCCAATTAAATAATAAATAATCTCTAAGTCAATATTGCACTTTGACTCCTCTATGCATAATTAGTTATCGGATAAATAAAGCCATCAATCCGGCTACTTAATTAATATATTTATTTTGGTACCTTTGATTATTTCTGACTCGATCACAATAAAATATTTGTTTGACAAAAATAATAATTTAAATAAATAAATATATAATAAATCATTTTGTCTAAAAATACACGAAGGCCTTCGAATTTACTTTGTGATCAACCATAATCAATACAAAATAAATACAAGTAACAATGATGCAAATATTGAAAATATAACCCTCTAACTATTAATTACATAACTACCCAAAGTGTCAGTCTAAGGATCCCGAAAAATCCGCCGAACAAATCAAAGTAATTATTAATTAATAAAAGAGTCTATAATTTTCTCATGCTTAAGGGTCAAATGCTATGACAGTGATAGGGAACAATTGCATACAACGGCTCTCGCAATATATCTCAACCTAATGCGGATCCAGTTCAAGTCTTAATTAATTATGAGTCCATCCATAATTACCGACTATGAACAATTTATAATTACTATTTATATATTATGCATTGATTGCCATCACATACATATATATAAATATTTCTCGTAATCATAGGGATACTATCAATTTCATAGTGAATCGAAACATAATACATTGAATTCACCAATTATATAAATCATAAATATTTCAGATATGTCAGGAACATATGTCACTATAATCCAAATAGGAATTTGCTATACCAGGGCATATAAACCCCAACAGCTCCCACTTGCCCTCATAGCCAATTCAAATTGCACCTAACTCAATGTTATCCAGATAATGATCAAAATTATTGATCAATGACACCTTTGATAATGGATCAACAAAGTTGTGTTCCAATGCAATGTTCTAGCTACAAGTACATTTTCTTGTCAGACAATATCATGTAGAACATGATACTTCCTCTTAGTGTATCTTGTTCCTCTATAGAACCTTGGGTCATTGGTTTGGACTACTTTTGCACTATTGTCACAACATAGCTCAATAGGCAGGCTAGTATACTCCACAACCTCCAAATCAGTGAGATCAAACCAATAGGCTTCATTTGCCGCCTTTAAGGCTGCAATATATTCCACCTGCAGGTTTGAGTCAGCAGTTGAAATCTGCTTAACAATCTACCAACTGATTTCCCTTCCATTAAGTGAACATACACTAAGTTATGAACCTAATAGTATCTACTTCTGATTAAAAATCAGAACTAGCATACCTGATTAGGACCATATCATCATATCCATAAATGAGTATGATATCCTTGGTCCTCCTTAGGTACTTAATGATATTTTTCACAACAGACCAGTTATCAAGTCCTGAATTGGATTGATATCTTTTAACTATCCCTACTATATAGCGGATGTCCTATTTGGTATAGACCATGGCATATATGAGACTTCCATATGCCAAAGCATATAGTTCCAGTCTCATTTGCTCAATCTCCTCTGTAATCTTGGAAAACTACTTACTAGAGAGAGCAATCCATATCAATAAAGCAAGAACTCATTCTTTGAGTTATGCATACCAAACCTGGTCAAAACTTTATCAATGTAGGATTATTAAGATAAGCCTATTTTCCTGTTAACCTGATCTTGCAAAAGCTTAATCCTAGGAATATAGCTTACATCTTGAAAATCCTTCATTTAAAAGTAATTGAACAACTACCTCTTTATCGATGACAAAACTTCCACATCATTCTAAATGAGTAGGATGTCATCAATATATATAGAATCAGAAATATAATGACATTCCCTTGAACACTCATGATTTATTCACTAAGAAATCTTCTATATCTTTTTACAGATTAACTTGCCTTCCATAGGAATCATCCTACTAGAAAGTTCTACAAGATCCCAGAATTTATTAAAATATATAGATTCCAACTCTGATTTCATAGTAACTTGCCAAAACGATTTGTATCCATATCGGTTCACACTTCCGTGTAGCTTACTGGGTCCAACTCATGTTTAACAGGGATGTCCATAATGGTCTCACCTAAAAATATGATTCTATCGGATTGGATGATAATCCTCCCACTACATTAATGTACCGATGCAGGAATCTGTGTACTAGATGATGCTGACTCATCAATAGGGAATTCATTTATTATTCTCAATCTCTATAATAAGTGTGTTCATATGTGGTACATCTGGTACTCATATCATATTCTCTAACACTATGCTACTAGGTATGTGATTCATAATATGATTCTCCTATAGATAAACAGTGAGTGTAAACAATCAACTTTTATCATTGAGATCATAAAATAATCCGTCCTAGTGACTTTTAGAGTAGCTATCAAATCTATCATGCGTATGATCTGTTTCCAACTTACTTGTCCATATCAAGCGCACATGTGCAAGACTACCCTATATGCGCATGTGATTCAAACTAAGATTTAGTCAAAAACACAACTCAACGGTATCCTTGAGACAGACTAAGATGGAATGCAGTTCATAATGCGCATCGATGTCATTAACGCTAAACTCTTAAATGAAAGAGATAATGTGGCATAACTGATCATAGATCTAACCATGTTAAGTGGAATTCTGTTATTCCTATTTGACACCTAAATGCATTTAGCGTTAATTGCGGAAAACTGGTACACAACACCCTCATTGGCCATATAGTGTTTGCACTATCCCAAGAAATACTCATATCCTCGATCAGATCGAAATGTCTTGATAAGTTTACCTAATCTATGCTCCACATCAGTCTTGACCCTCTCGGAATATACCAAAAGTATAAGACTTGTGTCGCAATAGGTAAATTTATCCAAAACGTGAGTAATCTTGCTTGGATGTTCATAAGACCACACGTGTCTGTGTGTACCGACTCCAATTGTTCTTTATGTCTATTTCATTTGGCTGATTAAGCCCTTAGAGTTATCTATCCTTCAAAACAGGATTCACAAGTTTGGTTTAGGCTCCTCTGCCTCACTAGGTAATAAACCTTCTTTGACCAATCTTTGAATCTCATTTTGATTGATTATAACCCAAAAATTGACATCAAAAAATACAATGAGTCAGGAATAACAAATTTTCTCTTAACATTCAATCTAGAGATGCAACATTAGTTTCTACATCCTGCAAATCTTAAGAGTTTGTGATTATAGTATATTAACCATCTTTCAATGCACCAGAAGTAATCACATATCTATTCAATTTTATAAAACCAATTTTACAAAATAACAACACAGTTTTTATAAACCACAAGTGAAACAAGAATAAGATAGCGTCTAACTTCTGTGCATAATGATAGTTCTCTAATACTAATATCCTCATACTCTCTAATTTCAGATGTAAAACTCCCACTGACTTAGCTACAACCTTGACATCAGGTCAGGTACAAATATATTCCATATCATCGAGGCTTCTGGATTCCTAAAATCCTTGCAACGAATTGCAAAAATGTTTAATGGCTCCAGAATCTATCCATCAGGAATTAATAGATACAACCACATAACATGGCTCAATGATTAAATATATATTTTCTTATGCCACGTCATTGCTTAGACAGTTCGTCCTTTAGTGTATTCGTTAGCAGCAAAAGAAACAATTTAATTTGCCCTCAACATACACTACCTTATTCCCTTTAACCTGTTGGATACCCATGTTTTGTGCTAGCCTAGTCCTATTATCATCCTTCTTCTTTGCTTTGCCCGTCCACTTGAGCCTAGAAGAAGATGGTATAGACTAGGTTAGATTGATAGGAACGCCCATACTCTTGATTATCCCTTCATCTGTTACCAATTCTATAAGAATATCAGCGAGTGTGAACTCAAACTGATTCCTTATTTAGTTCACTCTAACAGAGTCGAACGAGTTTGGTAACAAGACAATAATCATGTCAACTTGAAACTTACCACCCAAGTCAGCCCTATTAATCTCCAGCTAATTTTTAAATAATAAACAATCCTTTTCCAAAATTCCATTTCATACTGGAGTTCCTTAGGCTATCTTGATGCTATTCAAGTCTGACATAGTACTTTGGCATACTCTCTATCTAATCTCACCAAAACATCTTATTGACATTTAACATGATGCTTCAAGAAAATAAAATAATGTAAACGTTAGCTTTGGAGCGTATTCGAGGTAAACTCTAGAATATTATACCAAGTCATCTCATTTGCCCTATTTCACTTATTCAAAGCATTAATGTTCTCTTGGGTATCTTAAAGTAAAAGGATTAGGTTTAGGAGTAATAAATACATTTGTACCCTTACGTTGTGAATAAAATATCTAAGTTCCTTTCCCAGTCAATATTAATAAGGTCCAGTTACATTGAATATGTAAGCAAGTAGATAAACTGAATTAGACATAATTAATCTGAATATAAATGCATTCATATAATATGCAAGGTGAATTATTAATATTGTCATGCATATTTAAAATTAAAATGAGTTTGTTAACCACATAATATAATAAATCTCAATCGAACAAGAGATCATTATCATTATTGGTGAACAATTCCTTTTAATTAATGCGGGTCCCTTAACTCTGTAGCATAATAAATCAACCAATCAATATGTCAATAACTTATCCTGTTGGAAGAGTTCATTATTACTATTGTAGAGATTCATTTGCTATTAGGTAAGCACTTCCATTAAAATAATAATATGTGGATCCCTTAACCACTGCATGAAAAATCGGATAACCAATACGCCAATAACTTATTCGGTTGGCGAAGTTCATTATTGCTATTGGCGGGCAAATCCCATCATTTCCATATCTCTTAATACAATGCCTTGTCTATCATATGAAATGATTCCCGATTTTATTTAGCCTTTCTAAAATCACCTAGTGTAGACCACTCCGTTGGGAAGCTAACACTATTGATTTTAGATTGAGTGTATAACGTTATTAAAACTCTAACGAAAAATAAAACATTAAATATGTTGTCATTATAATCTAGACTCTTTAAATCATGCGTAGGGCCTTATTTTTAAAGATCTAATTACAATGAACATTTAATATTTTTATTTTCATTAGACAACCATTCTTGTAATATTAAGACTCTTCAAATCATGCGTGGGCCTTATTTTTGAAGATCTAATTACAATGGTGTTAATAACGAAGGCCATGGGGCAATGTATAAAAATCCCCACTTCCACTCAATTTTTTTTAATCATTCATAATTAGGGTTTTCATTTTATTCAAATACATGATATGATGCATGCTAAACGTCTTGATTTTAATCCAATTAAATTTAGAAAATATTTGGACTTTAAATGATTCACTAATATTTAATTTGAAACATACTTTAAAAATAATTTACAAAAATAAATTTTTCGTTTCCCAATAAGTGCCCTCAAATTAATTAGTAATCAAATCCAATTAATTTTTATAATTTAATTAATATAAATCAAGTCATTTAATTAAATATCATGGATCCAATGCATGAACAATCATAATCAGTATTAAATTATTCCATGCATCATATAAATAATCAAACTACAGACAGAAGTAATTTAAATGGCCAATGGATTTAGCTTTTAACATTTAATTACTCTAATAACTGCACGATGGTCTTCCATCAGCATGAAAACACCCGCAGGAGGTTGATACGTGCTAGGAGAAGCAAAACGAGGCTTGAAACGCACCTGGAAGGTCATTCATGCGCTCCCACGCGCCTCTGGAGAGTCCCAACGCGTGCCACGCCCTCCCACGCACTTACACGCGCTGGAAAGATGATTCAGCGCATGCCACGCGCTGCCACGTGCCGGCACGCGCGTGGGGAAGGTTCCTTTGTCCGGCGCGTGTTCCTCATGCGCCGGATGGTTGACTTTGTCTGGCGCGTGTATCTCACGCGCCAGAATGCTGACCTTGTCAGCGCGTGTACTTCACGCGCTTTTCCAATGGCTATCCTCTTCAGTGCACCATAGGTGCTGCTACACTGGATTATACGTCCATCTTCCGGCGCTGTCCCTCGCCGCCGGCATTGCTCCGGTCGCCGGAAAATCACCGAAAATTCCAGAAAATATTTTTAAAATTCCAGAAAATATTTTTAAAATTCCAGAAAATATAAATTAAGCCTAAAAAATTCCAGAAAAATTCCAGAAAAACTCCAGAAAATTCCTGAAGCCTAATTTAACCTTCTTGGACCTTCTTAAAGCTTCATAGCATCCTTTGATGAATATTACATGGCTTTAAAAATATTTATAATTTGAAATAGAATGAAAAAAAAATTAAATTACATCATTGAACTTTCAAACGGCTAAATCAAAGCCTTAATTACATTCATCCAAAGATAAAATTACATTCAATTATCCTATAAGCTTCATCCATGGCCCAAACACACATCATCGTCCATTCACAATTATACATACATCATTATATATCAATATATATCAATATATTAATTCATACATCAACATACATTAATAAATAAATATATATGCATATCAAAATTGGATCTATGAATGATGAATTTTGATAAAAACATGATCTCGAGTAATGAATTAAACTATGCTCTGATACCACTGTAGGGAAACGTGTTAGTTTTAAAAACTTTTCGAGGGATTTTAATTCATAGATCTTGATTCATCACATAGAGACAAGTTTTATGCAAAAATAAAAATATGATGTATCATTCAATTAAAAGATTGAATACTTACATCAAGGTTTGAGTAAACCTTAAATCTCTCATCTAAAGTGAATGTTCTCACTTATTGTAGATCCCTTTTGCTAGACACATTTTCCATGGATCTCCATCTTCTTGGTAATGGTCTTGCCTTTAGGAATCACTCATAAGCCTCCATGACTGACCTTGGAAAACTAGGCTTGTGGGAGCCTCCATTAGATGAGAACATAAACCCTAATTTTCTAGAGAGAGAAAATAGCTTCCTTTTTTTCTTCTTTCAAAAATTACCCCCAAAATATACATAGACCATGTATATTTATAAGCAACATAAAAATAAAGAAAAGGAAACAACAAATCATTCTCAATCTCTAATTCATATGTCTCAAATCTAATATGATTCCAATATCAAGTTGGGCTATGAGTGAGAATCCATTGGGCATATTATTTTATTGGCTACAATGAATTAATAATTGGCCCGATCCATGGACCCAATTCAATTAATTCATAAATTAATTTCTACTCCACTAAAAGAAATTAATTGAACTCCAATTAAATAATAAATAACCTCGAAGTCAATATTGCACTTTGACTCCTCTATGCATAATTAGTTATCGGATAAATAAAGCCATCAATCCGACTACTTAATTAATATATTTATTTTGGTACCTTTGATTATTTCTGGCTCGATCACAATAAAACATTTGTTTGACAAAAATAATAATTTAAATAAATAAATATATAATAAATCATTTTGTCTAAAAACACACGAAGGCCTTCGAATTTACTTTGTGATCAACCATAATCAATGCAAAATAAATACAAGTAACAATGATGCAAATATTGAAAATATAACTCTCTAACTATTAATTACATAACTACCCAAAGTGTCGGTCTAAGGATCCCGAAAAATCCGCCGAACAAATCAAAGTAATTATTAATTAATAAAAGAGTCTATAATTTTCTCATGCTTAAGAGTCAAATGCTATGACAGTGATAGGGAGCAATTGCATACAACGGCTCTCGCAATATATCTCAACCTAATGCGGATCCAGTTCAAGTCTTAATTAATTATGAGTCCATCCATAATTACCGACTATGAACAATTTATAATTACTATTTATATATTATGCATTGATTGCCATCACATACATATATATAAATATTTTTCGTAATCATAGGGACACTATCAATTTCATAGTGAATCGAAACATTATACATTGAATTCACCAATTATATAAATCATAAATATTTCAGATATGTCAGGAACATATGTCACTATAATCCAAATAGGAATTTGCTATGCCAGGGCATATAAACCCCAACATGTATACCTCTAATTAGACCTGCATAGCATCGAAATATATGCCCAGGGAACTCTTATTTGGAATTAAGGGATTATACTCTGCATAATAGTATAGGAGAAATTGTAATTTGTTCCCAAATAAAATTTTGGGAATATGTATTTTATTTTTTAAATGAAAATTGTGTTCGAGTATTCTCCTTTTATCATATATTCAAAGCCTGATTTTGGCTTTGGACTATGAGTTATATTTTTGCACTAAAGTGTCTTGCTAATGAACTACAGGTCCATTTAAACAAATAAACTGAACAGATGGTCCATGAGCTTTTTTTGTCCTTCATTATTAGTTCACATGCAATCAAAAGCTGAACGTGCAGCTTCATCTCTAATACCTGGTCAACAATCTTGTGCTATAGACATTTTTTTTAACTCTCTCTCTCTCTCTCTCTCTCTCTCTATATATATATATATATATATATATATATATACCAACATTTCTCTTCTTTTTTCATAGAAATTGTCTGCTTATCCTTTGTCTTTAAACAACATATTATAATGTCTGAGTGCTTTTTATCCTGTTTGCTAACCAAATTAAAATTAAACAGGTGGTGAGTTGTATTGTGGAAGTCCATGTGCTAATGAATTTAAAATCCTAAGTTGACATTGTTATGTACCCCCCGTACGAAAAGTGAGAACTGTAAGTATTATTTTATGCACTCTTTATTTTCTTTCTTCTTTACACTCGCAAGTTTGACTAGATGTCAAGAATAATCATGCATGTATACAGTCTCCTCCACACCGCTCTGTCATGATGATTAGATTATAGTTTAGCTTTTGTTTTTTGGTATAATTTTAATAGAGGATGGTTTGCATGTGATCTTTGTCCTGATATATGATTTAGAGGCTAAAGTGAATTTCTTTTTAGTTAATTGAGTATGACAAAACCTAGTCTTGGTGCATACTGTGATATATAGATAGATATAAATATAATTTCCAAACTTAAATAGCGTTAGTTCTACAATACTGTTAGTTCTCCCATATTCTATTTATGATATGGTTGGCTCCTAGGTCTTTCGATTATAGTTAAGTTCATAATGATCTGGTTATGCTTTTGACATTGCTGGATACTGCATAGTATTTGTGTTCATTCGATTGATGTCTTTAACATTTGCAGTTTTGTTATCTTATTGGTTTGGTTTTTTTTATTATGAATCAGGGGTGGACCCATCAACTTTTGTTTGGGGGGCCAAACTAGTTCTATCTACTTTAAAATTTAAAAGTTAGTTGTGAAAGTTTTTTTTATTAGTAATATATCTCTTGATGTCTGTATATTAACATGTGTATTAATATATTATAATGGGCTTTATTTTTCTATTAAGATTTGGGCTTATTCTTTCCAGTATTACGTGGATCACACACACACACAAACATCTATTCTTCTTTCCTCTCAATTTTTGAGAATCTAAGCAAATCTTATAATGCATAATTTTTTTGCCCATTCTATAAAAGAATAACAGGACATGTAAGATATGCATGATAAAAACAACAAATAGTTCATTGTTATTTACCTTAGGTAGAAAGTTTGTTCATAATTTTTTTACCCATTCCATAAAAGAATAATGAGTTTATGCTCATGATAAAAACAACAAATAGTTCATTGTTAGATCTTATGTATTGTCTAGCATAAGGGTAATTTTTTTCCCCTGGCTTCTAAGATAAATACATTGGTTATTTACCTTGGGTAGAAGGTTTGTTCAACTGGCATTTAGTTAGCAACTGCAATATTGGTTTTTTACCATGTTAATTAAGGGAGCTCTTTTGATTCAATGATCACAATCTTAATTTTAATCCATTTCAGGGTTAGCAGTGATGGTGGTAATGCTAGTGAACACATGCCTAACTTCCTTAGTGATCATCCTTTGTTGGCACAGTGAATGAAGATGGTTGGGCAAGCTTGGCGGTGCTACTTCTTTTTGCAATCTTTTGTTAGCACTTGGTTTTCTTTTTTTTAACAATGATGGAGACTTTGTACTCTAAATTATTCAATGAATGTTTTGGATTAATTTTTGGTGATTGTTGTTCTTTTTTTAACAATGATGGAAACTTTGTACTTCAAATTATTTAATGAATGTTTGGGATTAATTTTTGGTGATTGTTGTATATATATATATGCCTTTGGTTGCAATTTGGTTGTGTATGTGGAGTAGGATATGAGTGATATATGTTGTTGGACGACAGGTTACCCATTTAATATATATATATACATACCCACTTTATGCCATGGGCTTAATGTGAGGTAGAAACTATCACATTATTTCTACCATGGGAAGAAAAAAAAGAGGCTTCATAAGGGTTAAACTATTATGCTGATAATTCTTATCAATATTCTTATGCTCCTAGAAATGAATTATTTAACAGTCAACTTCCAAACAAAACACACCTACATATAACAACCATCAATAACCCATTCATGTAAAATCAAGTGCGGAACATCACACACACAAACACATCTTGTGCTAATTGCAAAATTTACAAACACAACGTTCATCCTAAACCAGCATAAACTAAGCATAAATCAAATCCAAAACATCAAACCATGAAAGTTATCAATCAAAATACTTACCGCCTTGTGCAACATCTTAATCAATGTCATTGGCTTTCTCTTTAGACATCTCTTGAACCTATCATTATGTCAATTTAGATGAGTGAAAGCTAATTCATACTCAGAACACAATATGTATTCCTGTCATAGATGTGGGTGGGTGTGTATGAGCTCAGAATCCTATCATATATGTGAATTAGAATTCTAGATGTAATTATATTATTAGGTTAAGTTTGAAAAACTCATCGGTAGACATGTTGCGCAGAGCATCAAGATCAACACCCCTAAAGCTCAAGTCCTCTTCTTTGGCATTTCTACTGCCACATCGGTCTCTGGAAAAGTAAAAAGCGATATAAGCATATACATGTATGTGTGTAGAGAGAGAAAGAGGGGCCTTCGTGGAAAAGTAGAAAGAACTCACAATTGTTGGAGATGATAATCAGAAACCTTAAGCCGAAGAAGGTCGAATGGTCGATGTGGTCGAAGAAGAACCCACCACCGATGAATGCAGGGAATAATTATAAGAAGTATATCTAATTCTTGAGAATCAATCCCAGTAGAATAATTTCAAACATTCAATATATTAAAAAAATAAGATATGTTGTGTCTATGTAAGAACAAACTAGTTAGCTAGGATGAGGAGACGATCACAGCTATAGTAGGGGAGTAGTGACTAATATAAAATGTTTGAAAAAAGTTTAAATAAGGTGCATTACATTGTAACAGTTATTGAGTTCTCCATTTTTTTTTCCATTATTTATTTATTTTTTTTTGGGTACAACTTCTAAGAGGACCCGATCCTATGATAAAGACTATAACTCGGCGGGGCAAACCCAAAGCCCAATCCAAAAAAAAAGGGGTTTTGGCAGTGTTATTTGGAATTTGGTCTAGGCTTGGATTCATCCATGTTTAGCAACCCAAAATCCAACCCGAACCTGTCATGAATTAGCTAACATTTTTTTTTTCAAGGTAGAAGTGTTAGATGAGTTAGAAAGTTAAGCTAGATTCTATTATTTTCCTACATTAATGCATATTCCTACATACATGGTTGAGGGTGGTGAATGTATTTTTTACCTTCATTTGCTTTGTGATTTGTGGTCAAGAGATCAAGTTAGAAGTTCTCCACATGGTTTAAGAACTCTCTAGACTTTGTCATACAGAATCTAATCCATTGGAAATTTTCCAACCTTGTTTTGAGATTTTTGAAAGGTTTTAAAGTTCAACTGGTTGAAATTAATCGGTTGCACATGTCATGTTGTAGAGACATATTATTTTTGGATATATTTTATATTCTTTTTCAAATAAAATTAGTTGAGGTGTCCAATAGAATTTTAACAATACTTTTTACTTTGACTTGAACGACGAGAGAGTATTAAATATCTAGGGACCGAGGTCATTCCAACCCTCAAATGTTAGTTTGCAATAATTCAATGAATATAGAATGTTAATACGAATTTTTAATGGCCTGTTGCGTGAATTATACATGGATTAATTGTTGTAGCCTTTTTCCTATCTAAACCAAGTTACCCACACACCCTTGGCATTAATATCAGATACAACGAAAACTAGACAAATCTTTCAAATTAAGTGCAGTCCTTGTCATTTATCCCCTGATCTTGTTACAGTTGGAGTGTATGAAGAAATCATAGAATTAACATCAGCACAGTATATAAACAATTTAGCATAAATTCATGCATGAGAGTTCCTGAATCAATACGAATCATTAAAAAAAAAAAGTCATAGACATTATCCATCAATTAGATACAGAGGTTCTTGCGAATCCAATATCCAAAGCAGAGAGTATTTATGAATTTTCTGTTTTAATCCTATAAAAAAGCACAGCAAAAAAGCAAAAATATAGATCTGAGAAGCACCAAAAAAAAAAAAAAAATTAATATAAAAAATAAAAAACACTTACAACACCAGTAGAAGAATAAGTAGAGACATTGAACTTCTGGTCACTCTGGTTGTCCTTGTAGAGAAGATCTGCGGCACGAAACAAACAAACAATTCATAGAAAACATTCCAAACTATCAATCCAAAAAACTAAGACAAATGAATGGGATATTCCAAAAATATAAAGGACTGCACTTTACGTGTTCAACTAAACATTTTGAGAGGATGACGGAACTGTTGCAGGGAGTGTCTAGGGTGGGAAAGTGGCTGAGATAAGAAGATAAAGAAGCCATAAGAAGAATATTCAAAAACGAAAAAGTAGGGTTTGTGAGAAGATGATGGACCTGTTGATGGACTGACTTTGCTGCCTCTCAATTGAATTGAATTAGACATTCACCCAATTAGACCAAGAAGAAGCCAATAAACTGCAAATTATATACTACTAAGATCAATCAACAAAACCCACAAAAAGCAAACACTCAAGTTTTGTGCATCTGAAGCATTCATGTTTAATTATATGTGTATATGTGTGTATATAGTGAATGTAAAAGTAGTTAAGGTTCATTAATTGGGAAATAAGGGAATTGAGGAGTGAAAATTACCGGCAGTGGGATTGATGTTGAAGACGGCTGAGAGTGTTAGAGGACTCGTCGATAGGAGAGCAAAGGAAGTTAGGAAAGATCGTTTCCGGCTGCTGCTGTTGGGGAGCTCTTTAAGACCTCCATGTTTATACCCAACTTGAGAAAGAGAAAATCTAAGGCTACGACTTCAATTGAAAAGAAATAGATCGATTAAGGAAGACCAAACCAGTTTGAGAGAGAGGACGAAAGGAGAAGATCGACCTAGGGCAAGAAACAGTCTTCAGACACAGAGCGCATCGAATAAGAATTTAGCAGAGTGATCCCTCGTGGATTACATATACAAATCTATACTTAATTGAAAAGAAAGAGATCGGTTGGGGAAGAACAAACCAGTTTGAGAGAGAGGACGGAAGGAGAAGATCGAGCTAGGGCCGGCAAGAAACAGTGACACACATTGAATAAGAAATATACATACAGATTTATACTTTAATTAACCAAAACTACATCATTTTGATAGGGTAGTTTCGTAAAATTACTTAGTAGTTAATTAAGGACGGTAACTTTACCGATAATTTTTTATTAAAAAAAAATTATAATTTCACTAAATATCCTTTTGGGACGGTAACATTACCATCCCCAAAGGCTATTTTGATAATTTTTTTTTCTTAAAAATGCTTATAATTTCATTAAAAATGGTCCTAAGTTTTGCCGCCACCAGATTAGAGGGCGCGCTTATTTTTTTTTTGGTCTTTTAGGGACGGGAAGGAATGTAGTGTCACTAAAAAGGGTGTTTTTAGGGACAGTTTTTCTACTGTCCCTAAAGGACTGTCATCAATACCCCTAATTCTTGTAGTGCATAGATTCACGAAGTTATAAGAAGTGTGTCTTAGACACTTCCTATTGAGCTTTATGCACACCTTTTTATTATTAACATTTTTCAGGTCATGGCAAAGAAGTGGCGGACGACAATCCACCACCAGTTTAGTCGAATTGACGGATTTGGACTCTTTCGTGATCAATGTGTATTTTACCCCTTTTAGTTGTAAATAGTACTGGTATTCATTTTGTATCTCCCACATGGTTGGAAATAGTCTTAAGACCATCCATTTGTATTTTGTGATCTCACTATGATTTCAATATCCATGTAAGGCCTTAAGGCCATATTTTTAATGGATGATAAATTTGCTTAATTTTAAAGGTGTATCGGACTTATGTATGGCCTTATGTGATTTTAATACTCCCTAGTTGTGTTAGTTTCATCATCAAATGGAAGATTTGAGACAGGTTTGGGCTTTGAGTAAGGTCACCAAGGGACCAAAGGAGTGCCTAAGTGCACAAGATCATAATTTTAGGCTGTTTGGGGCATTTTTTGAGGTTCTGGGCATCTTGAACCGGTTCAGCCCCATTGAACCGGTTCAAGGGGGGGTCTTTGGTTCAAGAATGGGCACACTACCCATCTTGAACCGGTTCAGCCCCACTGAACCGGTTCAAGTCCCCCAGTGCACTATTTTGCCTTCTTCTGTTGTCAGCTTGGAACGCTTAATTTCGGACGGTCATAACTTCTTCGTTCTGAACCCAAATAGCTCTTGAGTCCATTTTCAAGGATTTTGAGTTAGCTTTCCAATGAGTCCAACCTTATCTTCAAACTCCATTAATGTTGAGAGTTATGGTCATTTTAGTGGGAAAGTGTCGGAATTTCCCTTGAACCGGGTAAAGGTACTTTTGGAAATTCATAACCCATGACCGTAGAACTTCACCGAG